AAGTATTTAATAACAACCAGCTTTTGTAGAATCGTTTGTCGGTTTCGCAATACACAGACATTCAGGCGTAAGAGATTTTGAAAGAAATGCTGAACGGTCATCAAACAATTCGTGAAAAATTATCCATCTCGCGTGACGAGTTTATGGAAATGGGACGAATCGGGGCAGTTTATTATCAGCAGGGAAATCTCGATAAAGCGAAAACGATATTTGAAGGATTAGTCGAATTAGACCCGGACAGCGCAGAGGCACAATCGGCTCTTGGAGCGTTGCTGACACTAAAGCAAGAGGACGAAAAGGCGATTGAACATTTGAAAGCCGCCGTTGCGCTGAACCCGCGTCAAATCGCGCCGTATGTAAATTTGGGCGAAATTTTCATCCGGCAGCAGCGTTTGGAAGAAGCGGTAGAAAACTTGAAAAAAGCCATCGAACTCGATCCGAACGAACGCGATTCAGGAGCGAACCGTGCGAGAGCAATGGTTTTGGGAATATACGAGATCATTCAAACGAGTGGTCACCAGTATGAAGGCATTGATTTAGAGTCAAAACAAATAAACTAAAAATAAAAAAAAGGAGATTATAAAACATATGGCAGACGTAGCAGCAACCGGAAAAATCCCGGCAGATCAACAGGCAATTTTTGACGAACAACGTCGTTTGAACGCAGAAAATCTGGCAAGCAGTATGCAGATGATGCGCATTCAGCAAGAGCAGGCGAAACAACAGGAAGCCATTAGTATGCTCAGCAACACGATCAAGAACGCACACGATGCGAAAATGAATATCATCAACAACGCTAAAGGCTAAGGAGTAGTTTGTTAAAGACTATTTGTATAGGGGGAGTAGGTCTTTAGTTAGCGGGCAACCGATGATGATGGAACAAGCCGGAGGCGTTTGGATACTATATCTGAATGACTCCGGTTTGTTATTATGAAAATTTTTTGAAATTCAAAAGGTGAAATTATGGGATTGAGTATTAATTCATTCGATTTGATGGCTTTGATCGAACGCTTGCAAAGATTGAT